TGCGGTCATTAATCGGTTTTCTCGTAAAATAAATTTAAAAATGCTCAAGTACTGCGATTTTTTTTTGACGTATGATTCTAGAAGACTTGCAGTGTATCTTTCTCTATGTCTCTCTCTGCTACTCAGAGTTTCTAGCCTTGCTCCTCAACAACTGTGTAATATACTCCACCATCTTTCCTCCATTTGGACTTCCAAGTTCAGTTACCTTATTCCATTCTTGTCTAGCTTCGAAAACGCATGCATTAGTTAGTACAAAGTTTTGAGTAACACTTATTTCCGCTGATTGTTAAACCTTTAAAAAACTAGTCTTGCCAATTCTCCAGTACTCCAAGTTCAAAAAACGCATTGATTTTGTCTACTTCGGCTCACGACACACCCACTCCACGAACCACACACAAGTGTTATCTAAACTGTTTTACTGAACCGTTTTTGAGAGAACATACCCTCTCGGAAATAATGATGCCATTCACACGACAGAATTAATTAACTAAACTAATTGCCGAAGTCTTCAGCCACGGTTCTCCGCTCAGGAACATCGTAGAAAGTTCATTCTTTTACTGGGTGAAAGAGCAAAGCCTGAACTTCAAAAAAGCTTCCCCCAGATACCAGATAAAACAAGGGCCTTTTTCTGTCACAGCGTCACGCTCTGGAAATTTGCTATAACACTGCTAAACTCAACCCTTTTTTTACGAGTAGCTGACTAATTCGAGTTCGAATATAACTACGATGTTGAATACTACAAAACTTTCATACGTACAACACTTTAAAACAGCGTTGCAACTAGAATTGCCAAACTCCATAGTTCGAATTCGAATTGGGATGAATACTTTACTGTAAAAGTGTGTAAAAAAAAAGATTTTTCGCAGACTTCGAATTCGAATTGCGATGAATACCTTACTGTAAACGTTTGGAAAAAATAAAAATTGTATCAGACTTCGAATTCGAACTGGGATGCTACCAGACATCGACCTCGAACTGGGATGAATACTTCACTATAGAAGTTTGGAAAAAAAAGGCTTTTGGCAGAGTTCCAGTTCGCATTGAGATGAATACTTTACTGTAAACGTCTGGAAAAAATAAAAATTGCATCAGAATTCGAACTCGAAATGGGCTGAATACTTTACTGTAAAAGTTTGAAAGCAAAAAATTTTATCAGAATGCGAATTCAAACTGGAATTCTACGAGAAATCGAATTCCAATTAGGATGAATACTTTACTGTTCCCTTGACTGTAAAGGAAAGGGTCTTATCGAGGTAAAATGCCTGTATGTATGTTTGTATGTCCGCGGGCTAGATGCTAGCGACACACAAACTAGTAGAGCAGAACTTGATTGGATCAAAATGCTATGGAGTACTTAGTCGACTATAGGGAATCAGAAAATGAGTAAGGGCGACCTCTACGATGCATCCTATTGGTCGAAAGCATCATTTGGGCTTGATTGGATCAAAATGATCTGTAGTAGGTAGTCAAGTCTGGGGAATGAGAAACTGGGTATGAGCGACCTCTGCTATCGATTCTATTGGTCGAAATGTATATCTCACCTTCGTCGGATGAAAGTGAGGTACAATAGATATTCGATTGTGGGGAGTCACAAAGTGAGAATGAGCGACCTCTATGGTGAATTCTATTGGTCGAAAACATCATTTCGGCTTGAATGGATGAAAATGATACTTAGCAGGCACTCAGAAATAGGGAATGAGAAAATAAGTGTGAGCGACCTCTACGTTCGATTCTATTGGTCGAAATGTATATCTCAGCTTCGTTGGATGAAAATGATATGGAGTAGGTAGTCGACTATGGGGAATCAGAAAACGAGTATGAGCGCCCACTCTGGTGATGTCCGGAGACTAGATGCTAGCGACACACAAACTAGTAGAGCAGAACTTGACTGGATCAAAATGCTATGGAGTACTTAGTCGACTATAGGGAATCAGAAAATGAGTAAGCGCGACCTCTACGCTGCATCCTATTGGTCGAAAGCATCATTTGGGCTTGAATGGATGAAAATGATCTGTAGTAGGTAGTCGACTATGGGGAATCAGGAAATGAGTATGAGCGATCTCTAGGATTAGTTCTAGTGGTTGAAACGTTTATTTCAGCTTCGTTGAAGCAAAACGATATGGAGAAGGTAGTCTACTATGGAGAATCAGAAAATGAGTATGACCCTGGAGAACGTACTTGTGACAAGTACTCCGCTTGCGCAATGAAGCCGGTACTTATCTTTTTTTCAGAAGTAAATTTACTTGTAAGTACTTGTTCAGCGTGCAAGTACTTGATTTTTCACTTGACAAGCGCTTGTCAAGTAAAATTGCAAGTACTTGGATTGTTTTCAAGGTAATATTATTGTAGTATTTCTCTACTGCGCTTAATATTCACTTCGTGAACTTATATTATTCTATGTCTGAAGTCCACAAAGAAAACATGTTTTCCTAAGTATAGGTATAGTATTCATGTAAATAGATAGTGGCGAGGGTCCTAACCTGTCTAAAGTAGAAATAAAGCATTATGTTCCTGAAGAGAAAACCTGGTAAAACATGGTGAAATGGGTGTGTCAACTACCTTAACAAATACTTTATTTTGAGAGATCTCGTATTAAAAGTTTTTCTGTTTCACTCTTTCTTTATATAGAAATCGCTACATAAGAGTTCACCGCGTTAAGCTAAATTGTTTGTTGGATTTCGAAATAGAAACTGTTCGATTAACTTTTTTTAAAAAATCCTTTTAATTTTTTGCTCAAACTGGAAAATCCTTGAAAAATCGCTACTTGAAAAATCTAAAACGTTGTTTCCCTAAGCCAAACGCGTTTAGGAAAAAACGCTTCTGGTTTTTACCAAAGCTAGAAAAGCCTTCAACTCTTTCTAAAAAAAACTTTTTAGTTTTTTCGTCAAACAGAAAAGCCCTTTTGATAGCATGAAATTGTATGGAATAGGAATTCGACTATAAAGAATCAGAAAACTACTATAAGCGACCTCTGGGATTGATTCTGTTGGTCGAAAATTCCATCTCAGCTTGACAGGATGGAAACGGTATTCCCCTGACTGTAAAGGAAAAGGTCTTATCGAGTAAAACTGTAAGGAAATTGGTAAATCCTATTGGGGTGAAAATAATATACCTTTATTTCATACATCAGCATTAACTGGTAAAAACATCCATACAGTGTTTAATCAAATGATATTATCTATACTGAATAATCACACTCTTTTGCGAACAATAATAGGGCGTGCTCAGGATGCCGCGGAAACTCAGGTGATTGCTTTATCAGATGATGAAATTTCTTTAACAGAGAAAGGCCAACGACGACAGCGCCAAGAACTATCGAAAGCTTTGAAGAAAAAATGTTGCTGATTATGAGAAAAAAGAGAAATAAACTATTATCAAACAGTTTTGTATTTAAATCGTTAAGAAACATGATGCAGTTTATAATTGTTCTATCTTTCAACATTTTTTGAATTTTGCTTATCTTTGTATGAAAAACGGACACGGCATGTAGTATCTTTGTTTGACTTAAACCAAAAAGTGATGGAGACTTGCTTCTTGTGTGATTCGAGGAAATTTGGAAGGTGCTTTCGCTGGATCAGAATTAAAGTTTAAAGTATTTGGTTCATCCTCTATATCGTTAACCAACGCTTCCGTGAGCGATTCTTCCTTGAGCAGGACCCCGATGCAGTATTATCCCGAGTAGCATTCCCACTTCATTTCGCGGCAAGAATACAGCCTTATCTTGCCGCGATCTTGACAAGAAATTTCGCTCCTAATCTTGCTATTATTCCCGTGTAACGAAAATTTCACCATCTTGACGCAAAAATGTTTTTAACGGGATCGCGCTAAAATTCTGCTAAGATCGCGGCAAGATTGAAACCGGATCTGGACAAGATCGGGCAAAGAAAAAATCACCTCAAGATCTTGTCGCGAATTACACACGATCTTGCTGGAATCCTTCCGCGATCCCGTCAAACTCTCGAGACACAAATCGAACGGGATCGCATAACGAAATTGATCAAGAACGGGACTACAATTATAAGATCGCGATTTTACTTTGCCAAGATGGGCATTTTTTCGTTACACGGGAAAAAATCGCATTCGCGGTCAGATCTCAGCAAGAATGGAACGCGAATACCACTAGGGATCACGCGAATCTACACATTATTATACTTTTGATATCAATTCACCTTGAAGTAATGTAACTACAATCCATTTGCACAGCTGTTAAATTTCCATGGCAACTTCAAGAAAACCGGAGAATGTCTTTGAATTAATAAACACTGCTTAAAATTCCTTCTAAAATAGGCATAAACATTTTATTTACACTCTGAATTAATTTTGGTCCTTGTCAAAAGAAATCCGTACGTATTTTAATCTGTATACCATGTCTGAGAAAAAATACCGGTTGCTAAAGATCCATTAACCTCATGAATGCCGTGAGGTATCTATCGATGACATGAAGAAAATTTGATATGTTGCATATGCTTTTTCGTTCTATCGATTTAACGAGAAAAAACTGCCAGAGAAACACGCGTTACGAAAACAACGTAACGCAAAAAAGGGATATTTAATCCTTTCTTCGATTAACCGACGTTTGAGTGACTGACATTTGACCGAAGTACATAGATTCTTTAACTGAGTAATTTATAGGCTATATTTATCTTGGAAAAATTCAAAAACCTAGTGAAAATTGATGTTATATGAAATAACCGATTTGAGGCCATTTTCAGCTAATATTGAAAGTTTATGATTCCCTCATAATTGATCATAAAAACTTGAAAACTTCAGAAGGTACACAGTTTTGTATTATACACATGATGCTAGGATAAAAAACCCAAGAAAGCCATTTGTTTTAAGGTTCTCTGGAAGTCTGTTTGAGAAACCATTTTCTTAAAACCTTTTCTGTTTCCATGTTAAATTACACGCATAGCAGTCGAAATTAAATACTTTCTGACATAAAATCAATTTTGACTAAGTTTTTGAATTTTTTCCAAGATAAATATAGCCGCTTTGGTGTGGTCGAAAACCATTGGAAGCACAAGTTGGATTGAAGCCTTCCATTCACTTTTAAGGTTGCCAAACTTCAAAAAAGAGGAAATGGACATGCCTCAGGAAGTCCTGTGTAGTGCCTGAACGATGATATGTTTGACTGGACACTTGTATATATTTGCAGCGCAGTGTCTCGTGGTTCGAACCTACTTATTGGAGTTGAAATTCTTGTTCCACGGAATGGGAAGCTTATTTGTTTTTAGTCGATGGGGACACCATCTTCAGATAGTGGACAAAATTCCATTTTTCATTAGAATCGTTGAATTAATGTGTGGTACGATCTTCAAGAAGAATGGTTTTGTATATAATGAACTGTATATTTAAGCTATGATAAAATTGATGACTGAATCGTCGAACTACGTAGAGAAAATGACGTCAATTTAGAATTAAATGAGACAGCTAATAGTGATAATGAACAGAATTCCATTGAAGAGGGAAAGCATGTAGTAGTAACACAGAAACAAAATCCAATCATTCATCGAAAGATAAAAGGTGTTTTTCGTAAAGAATGGTTATTATTAAAAAAATATTCATCGTGGTTAAAAGAAATGAAATCAGATTCAACAAAATCAGAATGTAAAGCATGTTCGAAACAATTTTCTGTAAAAAATGGCGGAAAAGCTGATGTTGATAAGCATATGAGAAATATACATCAGTTATCAATGAAAACATTTGGTAAGAACCCATTAATAACATCGACGGCGGTTCCATCAACTGAATTAGATAACATTTCCGTAGCTGAAGGTGCATTTGTTTATCATGATGTTAAACACGGCCATGGTTATGTTTCACAAGGATGTACAATTAGCATTCCTAAAACTATATTTGAATCATCATCGTCAGTTGCTAAATCAATTACATGTGGAAACACAAAACCAAGAGCAATTGCATGTAACGTTCTTGGACCATTTTTACAAGTACATTGATCGATGAGTTATTAGAATCACGTTTTTCATCAAATAAAGGAAATTGTAAAACATATCCATTTGCAGTTCAGTTCTTTTCCGATATTGATGTTAAAAGAGGTAAATATTTATTTTATTTTAAATTTTGTGATTTGTTTTAAATCTTCTCTTTCTTTATTGTTTTTCCATAGGTATGGTTGAATTTATAGAAGATCGCATGAAACAGCACCAGATGTCTTCTCAAATGCATGCGAAATTATTAATGATTATAGATTAAAAATGGAAAATCTAACAAGTGTTGGTGCAGATAATACAAACGTGAATTATGGTCAACATCATTCTGTTTTTAAATTATTTAAAGACCAATTACCACATCTTGTTAAAGGTGAGAAAGAAAAAAGTTTTGGTAATACGTTGGCACGGCAGTACAAATTTATATAACTACTCTTGCTTAAATTTTAGGAAATTGTTATGCACACATTTTGCATAATGGTGTTAAATATGCACACGAATATTTAACAATTGATATTGAAGCAATTTTGTGCAAAATTTATTCTCATTTTTCAAGATCGGCCAAACTTAAATATAATTACTTAAAACATATTATGAATTCATACAGTGTGAATATGCTGTAAGTCATCGTTTCGTAGTAAGAGTAAGTGAGACAAATTATTGTCTGTTTAAAAAGTCAGTGGAATTGTTTTCCGAGAAATTTCGAAGACTGGTTTCTAGAGGATCTTTGGAAAACTACTTCGTATCTCTGAAAACTTGTTTTTAAAAGGTTTTCCAGAAATCTTCCGAAGTACAAGGATATTTTTTACCATTCTCAAGTGAAAAATAGTATTAAGCAGGTAAAATAGAATACATCTTGATATTGTTACGTAATTTGGATGGATCTTGACTGGGTTACGAAATTTTTGATTTTACTTAAAAGTAGGCGAAAATGAGTTACTTCACCTAGTATAGGTTTTCACTAGGATTTTGAAGCTTTTTTGAAAAACAAATATTGCCAAGCCATCCAGCGTGGTCGGTTACCTATGTTTCCATTCATTTTCGGGATTACCACATCTAAAGAGCTATTGATCCTGGGGCTCTCAGAAAATCCGATTCCACGCCTCAACAACAAAAAAATAAGATGTCGCTTGGATTTAGTTTTGTAGAAGACACCTTGGACTATCTGCAAATGGAAAAAGATAGATAGGTTGCTACTTTAGTCTTGGGAGATACGAAGTAGTTTTCCAAAGATCCTTTAAAAAACCAGTCTTCGAAATGTTTTGGAAAATAACTTTTGCTTTTGCGAATCTGGCTTAAAGTCTTGGCTATCAAATGTTGGAAATCCCACGTCAATATCTTGCGTCGTTCATTAGTTATTCAACAAATATTCTTGTTGTCTATTTTTGATTCCACGTCCCGGCGCCTTATGCATGTTCAGAGTAAGAAGAAATGTCAAGTTATCGTGAGCATAAAACATGGTGAAATTAGTGTCGCACTGCCTTGAGAAATAGCTCTTGGGAGAGAGCGTTTGTTCGATCCTGAAATTTGTGATTTTCCTGATCTTCCACTCAAACTGATATTACCTTAGTTTCAAGTAATATCCATGTCGCCTTCCTCAATATAACTCTTTAAAATGTCGAAGTATTTTATAGAATAACGGATCTGTATATTCTGTAAAAATAAATTTCTTGTAAAAGAGTAAAGGATGAATTCTGTTAACCTCTCCACCGGATAAAAGAAAACTTATAAGATCGATGAAAACAACATAGATCACCTGTACTTTTGAATGCATTAGAAAAATCGGTACTTTTGCCGCGCTGCATCAAATTACTTGAAACTAATGTAATATATGCAGAATTTCACGGTGAATCCGACAGCGGGCTTCTTATAATTATACTTTGAGTTTCTGATAGGATCGCCACGGTCTTTGCGATTTCTTATAGTAAATTTAGGCATTTTGATCTTTATACTTTTGAAGAACTGCAGCAATCAA